AATTGCTTGGAGTCCATCACAGCAATCAGCATCAAGGATCGTAACTTGTTCATTTTTAAATTTAACCAGTATGTAACAGTCTCAATAAGAAGTGTTTTGTAATTTATGTTAAAATACCACAGATACTACCAAAATGTCAGTGCACCTAAAGTTAATGGATTAGGAAGCCATTATAAAAGGCTTTACATATTTTGCATATCTTAAAAACTTCTATAGCTACCAATTTATAAAAATTACTAAAGTGGACCTACAATTTATAAAACAAATGCTAAAACTAAGTCAACCTTAAAAAAATTTTCCTTCCTTTCATATGCTCAGAAAATATAAACAGAAAAGAACATTTTCAGACCATAGTAACAGAACTGCCTCATTAAAAAAATATATAAAGACTTATGATCAGTCTAATACTTAACATCTTCTGTTTAAAAAGTACCTTTTCTATCAGGTTAGGACTCTAAGAAATATCACGTTTTACCAGCTCTGTTTTTTGTTGAACTTGACATAGTTGGATGTATGTTCATGTATAGTTTTGCCCTTGAATTCTAGGACAGAAAATGGTCTATGGTAAAATTTATACTGAATAAATCTAGGTGAAAATCTGAGGGATGGGCCATAACGCATCATAACAAGTTGCATCTCCAACATCTGGTTTTGATTTTATTACATAATGTAAATATTACATTTAATAAAGTGGTAAAGAAGAAATTGAGCAGAAATTATATTACTTTTTCAAAAAAATGTATTCTAGCATTTTCAAGACCTCTAGCAGAAAAACCAAAATTTAAAAAAAATAAATAGTAAAGCAGTTTCTTAAAACTAAAAATTGTGCACAACTATTCCATAAAGTATACAGTAAACTGCTCAAACTGAGAAGTACATTATTTAAGTTGAATACATTTTTTCCATATAATGAATTCTATAAACTGTTTTATAGTCAACTTCCATGTGAAATCTGATGTTCTTGCTTTCCCTTTTATGGAGTTAATAACATCAGAAAGCAGAAAGCAAACAGGGTAGTGTTTTGTTTTTTAAGTTGTCAAATAGAAAAACAACAAAAAAAATTAGGAAAAAAAATCTTTATTCAATAGTCCTAAATACAACCAAATAGGAAAATATCCCCCTCCCCCTCCAGCCAAAATCCCACCAATGCTACACTGCATTTGAAAAAAAGAGAAGAATCTAAAGAAGAAGCCCTTTGAAGTATTTCTAGTCTTCTCTTCACAGCAGCCTTAGAAATAATTAATAAAGCATTTTAATAGTATCTTCATAAATAAAATTCCAACTATTTGTTGTACTTAAAATGCTGGAGTTGCTTTCAGTTAAAAAAAAAAAAACAATAAAACCAGCTTAAAATAAATTTATTGTACAATACAAAAAGCAGGCATACTAGAAAATAAAAGATACATTATTAAATATACAAAGCAAATGAAAGAAAGCTAAATAACACAATGTTTTAAGCCAAACATGAAAATTAAAATGCACAACATTTATGCTGAAAGTAAAGTGTTTCAAGAAGAAAATACATTTCAAATGAAATGTTAATGATGAATAAAAGAAAAACAAATATGCTAATTTCTAAGTGCTTGAATATCAAGAATCAGTAACTGGCATGAAACATTAAATCCAACAATACTGGGCACTTTTCAAGAACTGTATTTGAAAAGGTGTTAAAAACACTGAAGGAATTAAAATAATGTCGTTAAATCTGGCAAAGATTTTCCCTTAAAAAAAAAAAAAAGCTGCAGGGCCTATTCACAACATCTTCCCTCATATTCCATTTTTACCTTCCTACAAAAATTTCTGGATGCTCATCCTTAACAAGATTCTATAAACATAGCAGCTTAGGATAACCCTTCTGTACTGGTAAGTGTGCAGTTAAGCCTTACCAACATAATAAAAGTGCCATAAATTAACAATTTTGAAATCTATACAAATATGAACACAATATGAAACCGCACACAGGAAAAAATAAAGCCTTTTTTTCAAGCTGTCTATTAAGGCATTCAGTTCCCCAAAACACAAATGGCTCTGGTGAAACTTTTACTATCTAAAGAAATAGCAGAGGTGAGGCCTCCACACACACTACTCTCTTGTAAATGGCCAAACCAGAAGCATCCAGTTAGAATTTGCATCTGTACATTAGAGGAAAGTTCAAGTAACCATAAAATCCTTGGTAAAACTTAACATAACATATAATTATTTAAATATATGTGTTAATACTTATGTTAGCCCAAAAGGCTTTTGAACAACACCTTTGGGAGAAAATGTCTTTTCCTAATATCATAGTTCCCAAATTCAAGACATCCTATGATCAGGATTTTCTATATCTATATTTGCACTAGTATCTAAATGACCCAGTGAAATCCTTTTTGCTATAGTGTATTTACTTTTACAGACTTGACCCTACCACCTATATGCATGATACTAAGAAACTATCTAGTTCTCCTAGACCTCACCCGTGCCCCTCTAAAATCTAACAAGTTTAAAAGTGAATTAACAACAACAAACACCTTGAAGCTGTGGAAAACTGGGAGAACACTAAAGAGGTATATGGAGGAAGAAGTGTGAATAGGTCCTACAGAATTTTATTATCACTTTGCCAAGACAGACTTTAAATATTGTGAATTTTAAAAAATCAGGTTGTGTAGAACTTACAGTCCCTCTCTTAAAAAACAAGTTCTGATACTCAATATTCCATTTTTATAACCAAACAAAAGGATTCAGATCTAATAGATAATTTAGTAGAATACTTACTATCTTCAGACTGAATTCATTTCCTAAGTACTCTAAAAGAGTTCAAATAGAACAAACTTTGAGATGTTATCATAATTTATCATCAAAGATTCATTTGTATTTGTAAAATTATTAGAATAAAATAACTAAAAGCTAAAAACCAAGACTCACCATTTACATTTAAATATAACAGAAAAAGTTATGTGGATAATATGAAAATAAAATTGTTCAGGTAAACATTTAACTTAAAGATACTCTCTTCTATTGCTCCTTCTGAGTACCATAGCTTTTTAACAGTAAAACATGTCATGAACTTATATCTGAAATTCTTTGGCTGGAATGTTTTAGTAACATAAGACAGTTCTGTACATAACAATTCTGACAGAACATGGGGGTTGCAAGGTTAAAAAAAAAAAAGCAAACACATGACTTATAAAGTGTCTGATAAAATTTTAAATGAATTTTTAAAAATTTAAAGCCAATCTATCACTAAAAATGGCATAAAACGTAAACTTAAGCTAATTTTATAATCTGCTGCTATATTAAATAATTTGGGATTCACTATTTTACCTTTTTAAAAGTTTTGTACTTAGCATAGAAATACCTGCTATTTTAAATAATTTGGGATTCATTATTTTACCCTTTTAAAAGTTTTGTATTTAGCACAGAAATACTTTCTAATTCCACTACAGACATCATGTCAGTTTTAAAACTGGAAAAGAGAAAAACAAAATGTAATGAAACGTACAAGTGCAATGTGTGGGTTTTAGAACCAAGAAATTATAAACTTCTGTTACTATTTTAAATGAGATTATCTGACTCTATAGTTAAATTTTTAATTACACCAAGAAAAATTTTAAAGAAATTTTTCTTTATGCATTTTTAAAAATAAAGCAAATTTGCTTTATTTACTTATAAATACTTTTTAAAACTAACAAATCTACTTTTTAATCTATTATCTTTTACACAAAGATTAAAAGAAAAAAAAGCTTATGGCTCCAGCACCCAAGGTTGAGAACACAAAAAACTCAAATAAATATTTATAGTATGCAAAAAAACTAAAGATGTTTGAATGGTTAAATGAAGAACATTCTGAAACTAAAACCCATTTCTTTAGCTTTTCTCTCCCAGACTTTCCATTCTATATACTACAGTTGTAGAGATGTCCTCATTTGACTCAGGTGACACTTTTTTCCACACTGTCTCTTTTAAAGCAAGTTCTTGTTGGAGACTTTCATAGTCCAATGGTCCAAAGGAATGCTAGTTGTTCAAGCAACATACATAATTTATTAGTGCACTTGAGTGAAGAAAGGTCCAAGCTATAAAACGGTATTTTTCAATGCATGTTATTAAAATCTGTTAACATTTTCACCCACCACCATTTGATGTTTAGCTCCATGTTACTCATGTTGACTCTCATGGAAGTTTCTATTCTCATATATTGTTCGAAGTTACTTCAATTGGAACTAATGACATAAAAATTTACTTAGTTTATGTATTAAAATTTTTTCTTTTTACCTATAAGTGCTTCATATGAACTTCAAGTCTAATTAGGTAATTTTATTATATCCACAGGGGTGCAAAGAAATTTAATTAAAACCCAAAACAAGTCCCTTGGTCCAGTGAAGAACAATGAAGACAAAAAAATCTTATTCCTGAAATCTAAGTCCTGATTCTTAATACTAGCACTAAAAAGGTAGTATATATGTGTAATAATGTGAAGCCAAGCATACTAATAAAAAAATAGTACTTTAAGAACATCAAGGAATACTGCACTAAATACTTTTTATAGAAAAATATTTCATCAACAGTGGGTATAAAATGCATTATGAGGCTTTGTATGGTCTCTAATACTATAATCCCTTTCCTATTTACATATTCATCCATGTCAAAATAAACTTCAATTGAAGACTATAACTGACAAATGTTAAGAGTAAAAACAGGCTTTCTTTTTACAGCATGTAGTACTTTCTAAGGGTCTTAACAGAATCAATTATTTTAAACATTGCTTAAAATAGCAAAAAAATAAAATAAAATACAGGAGGAAAAATCCTGCTGCTAGGCTTACCAGTTTCAATTTAAATAAAACAGCAATATTTAATGAACTAGTTGTCCAAGATAAAAATTCAACAATTTGTTTACACTCAATTTGTGATTAGCAGAGATATGAGGCCATTACCAATAAAACTAAATTTTATTAAAACCGGTGAATCTCATTCTCTCTTACGAAACTATTAAATAATAATCTAAATGAGAATTTTGCTTACCCTTTGATCACCACCTTCTCTTCGAGGATCAAGCTTTTTCGCAAAGTGTCTCAAATTATCATAATTATGGAAATTACACAGAGAAACAAGATCCTGTAAATAAAGAGAACAGTATAAGAAATTAGCTATTCATTGGCTATTGTTTTTTCATAATTTAATAAATTATATTAATACTGTCCAACTTAACTACTATCTCATGCAAAGCACTAGTGGATGTTAATAAAGCAGCATGATCCATCAAAGAGGACTAAAATCAGAATAAGATGATATGGATACAAATTTTGAGATCATCGCTTACTAACATGATGATAGGACTCAGCAACTCAAATTGTTTAACTTTCATTTCCTATAAAATAGGCATTATAATAATAGGCCATATGAAAGAATTCTTTCATATAACCATAAAACACCATAAAAATATAAATATTCTGATTACAATCTATTATGTGCAATCCAGTGTCATTCTCTAGTTTGTACAGAATATAAAAAACTGAAAAATCTGAATTTTAATTAATAAAGTCTGCAGAAAAATTACAGTACTCAATGAAGACCCTGGGAAGTAATAAATGTAAATAAATCAGAAGCGCAAATATTAGCAAGAGTTGGGTCACAACATAAAATACTGAACTAGACAAGTATAGCAATAATTTTAAATCATAGTGTTTAATTCCTCAACAACAACAAAAAGACTTTTAAAGGTAGTTTATGGATAAAGATATTCAACCATGGCTACCTCAAAAAATTAAAAATTGAACTTCCATTTGACCCAGTGATCCCATTGCTGGGAATATACCCTAAGAAGCCTGAAACACCAATCAGGAAGAATATATGTACCCCCATGTTCATAGCAGCACTATTTACAATAGCTAAGATCTGGAAACAGCCCAAGTGTCCACCAGTAGACGAATGGATAAAAAAGCAGTGGTACATATACACAATGGAGTACTATGCAGCGGTAAGAAAGATCTCTTATCCTTTGAGACGACATGGAGGGACCTGGAAAGTATTATCCTAAGTGAAAGAAGCCAAGCAGAAAAAGACAAATACCACATGATCTCACTTATATATGGAATATAATGAACATAACAGTCTGAGGAATACAGTAGACCCAGACACATGGAAGTAGGGCACAGACTGACATCCCTCAGAAGAGGGGATGGGGGGTGGGGGGTGGGGGTTGGGAAGAGATAAACCACAGAACTTATATGCATGTATGCATGACCAATGGACATGGACAACTAAGCCCGGGACAGGGTGGAGGGGGGGGGGGGGTGCCAATGGGGTAAAAAGGTAAAATATCTGTAACAAAAAAATAAATAAAAATTCATGAAAAAAAAGATATTCAACCATGTAAGCCTGAAGATGATACAACTATAATAATCTTAATTTATACTGGGTTTCATATTATTTCTCCAAGTTAGTATGTTTTGCTGAGCTTTTGGAAACTGAAAAGTAATCACAACCATAAATATTAAAATATAAGCATCAGCCCTGGCCGGTTTGGCTCAGCGGTTAGAGTGTCAGCCTGCAGTCCAGAGAGACCTGGGTTCAGTGTCCGCTAAGGGCACGTACCTCGGTTGCAGTTTGTCCCTGGCCCCAATTGGGGTCGTGCGGGAGGCAGCCAACTGGATGTGTCCCTTTCACGTCAATGTTTCTCTCTCTCCCCGCCCCCACTCTATCTGAACAAAAAGTAGAAAAATGTCCTCAGGTGAGGATAAAAAAAAAAAATTTTATATATGTCTCAAAGATAATTTTCTGTGAGAATGATTATACGAGAGCTGTCTTGGTAGACAGAGGTAATTTGAAATCCTCTATGAGTACTTCCATGGCTACCTAATAACTATCAGACAGGCAGGCAGAGTGCCAATAATCAATAAACTATGAAAATGAGTAAAATAATAGAATCATTAGATGGCTCAACTTATATGGTCATTATTTTCATTAAGAAAACATGCTTACGTGACAGAAGTGAATTCCCTTAACACTGTTGCCCATTTTGTCCAAAGGCGGAGACCAGCACATCATGCCCATGACATTGGGGACAACTAAAAGAATGCCCCCAGCAACTCCAGATTTTGCAGGAAGACCAACCTGAAAATAATTTGAAAAAAGGGACATTTATGTTAACATTTTAAAATAAGAAAAGATATGTCCAACAATAAGGTAATTGGTTTAAAAATTATGGTATATAGCTATACAGTAGAATTCCAACTTTAAAAATGTTGTAGGTAGCCTTGGCCGGTTTGGCTCAGCGGTTAGAATGTTGGCCCGCGGACCAATGATTCACGGGTTTGATTCTGGTCAAAGGCATGTACCTTGGTCTGCAGCCCCGGTAGGGGTCATGTGGGAGGCAACCAGTTGATGTGTCTCTCTCACATCAATGTTTTTCTCTTTCTCCCTCTCTCTCAAGATAAATGAAAAAATGTCCTAGGGTGAGAACTGGAAAAAAAAAAAATGTTGTAGGTAAGTATTTACCAACACGTTTATAACACAGTAAAAAAAAAGAAAAAAGACAGTTATAAAACAATTGGGATGTATTTAAATATGGAAAAAATTTGAAAGATATACTCTTAATTCATGGGACTATGTTTTTATTTTACTCTTTTTTCCTGTATTTTCTAATTGTTTTAAAACATGTATTGCTTTTAAGTACAAAAAATTATTTTTCAAAATGTTTTTATTGATTTTTTTTTTGAGAGAGGAAGGGAAAGAGAGAAACATAGATGAGAGAGAAACATCGATTGGCTGCCTCCTACACACCCCCTACTGGGGATCATGCCTGCAACATGGACATGTGCCCAGGCTAGGAATTGAACCAGAACCTCTCAGTCCATGGGATTTTGCTCAATCAACTGAGCCACACCGGCTGGGCTAGAGGTTTTTTTTATATGTAAGAATGGTGCTGTGGGTTTAAGAGCCCTTATCATTTAGAATTACAGACTGAACTATGACAAGGGTAAGGGAAATAGGTATACATACAGATGAAACAATATTGGTCATCACTTAAGTTGAGTGATGCCTAACATTAAATAAATATTTTTCTGTTTTAAAATTTTCAAAATAAACAATTATTTTAGGACATTTGCTTACTAACATAAGCAGAACGAAATAAAAGTCTATATATTTTACAAGTGGCAAATGCACAACAGAGCTTAAAGCAGTCTATTTTTAAGTTTTAATTTTAAAGTCCTTTAAAAAAATCCGTGGCTTTAACCAAAAATGTTGCTCTGGCCAGCATTTAAAGTGTCGGCTTGCAGACCGAAGTCTTGGGTTCATTCCCCAGTCAAGGGCACATACCTTGGTTGTGGGTTTGATCCTGAGCACCAGTCAGGGTCGTGCAATCAATAGATGTGTCCCTCACATTGATGTTTTCTCTCAATCTCTCTCTCCCTCCCTCCCTCCCTCATTCCCTCCCTCCCACTCTTAAAAAAAAAAAAGTTAAACATCACAATTATGCACTCTTTCTGAACTTAAGGAATTCTTGAGGTATGCTCCATAATGTAAACATTAACAATAAAAGGCTATACTAACCTTGTATATTGGAATGACTTAAAAGAAGTGATGAGGTTCTATAAATAAAATTTCAAGATCTCAAGAATATCTGGTAGACTGCTTAACTCTATTCCTAACCAATTCTGTAATAATTATTAACCCTGAAAACAAGCTTTTCTCTCAAAAATAAATGTACAATTTTAGAGCAAAGTTCAAACTGTATTTTTAAAAGAACTAGTCCAGACTAGTTTCTTACAAAAGAGAAAATTAAGATTAAACAATAACTTACATGGAAAGCAAACTGCCCTGAGAAATCATACATGCCACAGGAATGCATCAAACTCAGTGTATTTCGAACTGCTTCAGGGCTCAGTACCCTTTCACCAGTAATTGGGCAGAAACCACCGTTAGCCAGAGTTGCAGCCATCACACTAGCCGATTCACAAGTTACTTCAATGGAGCACAGCTAAAAGAAAGCAAAAACTGAATTCTGAAAATCTAGGCTCACATAATTTTTAGTATTACAGTTGCCTTCTAAGATAATCCACTTTATCTGGTATTTCATACAGATCTGAAATCTTTCTTTCAAAGGGATCATTTTAATATAACTTGATAACAGTCTAAAGATTTTAATTTGAATAGAGTTCTAGCCCCTTTGAAGTTTATCATGATTTGCCCATTCAGTTTTTTAACAACATAACTAGGATAGAAAGCCAGGCCCTAAGTACTAATATTCATAATTGCTCCATGTGATATTCAAAGTTGCTTAATAGTTAATGCTTTCTATAAGATACACAAACATAATTATTAATTCAGCAGATAAAAAGGAACCATGATATTTTTTTAGATAAAGCAACATACATCAGTATAACAGATAGCATCTATATAAGAAATTGCCACTTTAGAAAAAAATACTAATTGCCTGACATTTCACCTATAACAAAGCTCAGCATCCTCATATGGCAACATGCAAAGGACTAAATAAAGAAAAATCTGAGACAGGTCTAGCTTGGATACACTGTGTGCCTAAAGCAAAATGTTACCTTTTAAACCATCTAGTAACAGTCAAATAATTATCTGATATTGACTATGGGATGGGTGCAGGACATACTATGATGAGAAAAAAAGCGAAGTCCAGTTAAAATGCAGAATAAAATTTTTGTATTTAAATATAATCAAAATAATGGAAAAAGTTTACTATACAAAACCCAAATGTATCCATAAAACTAAAACGGTAAATATGGTCTATTTTATTTTTCATTTAATAGCAACCAAAATGGGGAAAAATAGAGAAAGAAAAGGTGGGGATGGGGAAAAAAAAGAAAAGACTGATTCTCTTATTAAATATAAAATAAAAAAAATTTCCCTATTACATTATGAGCTATGACTTTTTAAAATATGGACATGAAATTGTCTTTCATAAGGATATTTTTTTGAAAGTCATTGGGAAATGTATTTTTTCTTGGCCTAGAGCCAAGATTTCAGAGATATCTATATTGTGCAAAATGTGATACACCCATTTATTTATATACACAATTCATATATTTAAAGTAAATTACCTGGAAATAGAAGTCTAATATACCAACCATGTCTGTGCCTTCTGGAAAACACTGAAAAAATAGGAAGGCAATTAAAAACATAGGAACACAGGGAAAAAAATATAAGCACATAGGTAAAAGATACAAGATTAAATTTAAAATGTACATGTTTTATCTTAACTGAACAAAATAGCACATAACCTATAAAAGGACATAAATATGAAAGAAAAACAATAAAGCAAAATTACATCACATATAGATTTCTAGATACTAGTTTAACTGAAATAAACTGAGTCATAATTCATAAACCAAGTTACTAAACGAGCCACTTAAAATTTTTAAAAATCAAGTATAATCCACAATAGTCAGGCATTATACTTTTGAGTAAATGGGTGAATCCTTATGCAAAATTTGCTTTAACTAGTCAAATACTTGACTACTGTCAGATACAAATCAATTTAATAACATTAACACTTTGATAGTATTAACTCAAGCTTGTTTTACAGAAATTTCTGAACTTTAAATAGTAATAGGCAGCTGCTTAAACTCCATTGTTGCGTTTTTAGCATATATCTTTATGTATTTTATTAAGTAAAAGAATAATGTGAAATAAAAACAAAATTTTAAAACCTTTTTTTCTTTTAAGTAATATCCTATTGCAAAATTTCGATCTCCACTTTCTCTTTCAGACTGAAACCTAGAAGAAAAAATAACACTTGCTTTATTTTCTGTAAAAATATGATTCTGTAGTTTAATCTGTATATCAAAGTGCAGTATAAAGAACACTGACCTAATAGTCAAGACTGCTGGGATCCAGTAACAGTTCTATGAATAGGCTTGCTAGCTATGTGGGCCTTGGGAAAGTCATTCAAGAGACAATTCTTTCTATCTTAATTTTCTCAGCTATAAAAAGGTTAAAATGAGCTAGGCCCTTTCTACTCTTCATATTTTGTGAATAAAGAAGCTAATTTTAAAATTAAATATTCCACCATTAAAATATATTTTAAAAAATGCAGAATCTTCTGACTGCCTCAAAAAGTATAATACATAGTCAATTCCAACTAAGGGAATACATGGAAATTTCACTGAGAGAGGGACACATGAAATGGGCCTTAGAGCAATCACTGAATTAACAGATTTTAGGTGGAAGCCCAGGCAGCAGCATGAACAAAGTGATAAAGGTATAAAATACAGGATTTCACTGAAGAATAGCTAATATTCTGACATACCTGGGAAATAGGATTTATAGAGAAAGAGTGGAGAAACATGAAACTAACATGACCAAATTATCAAGACTGATACATGCTAAAAAATGTAATAGCTCTTGATTGCCAACAGAGTGAAAGCTTAGCCCTGGCCGGTTTACATCAACGTCTCTCTCTGCCTCCACCCCCTCTACTCTATCTAAAAATCAATGGAAAAATATCCTCCAGTAAAGATTAACAAAAAGAAAGCTTAAAGGTTTTCAAACAAGTTACCTTGTCAGCTCTACATTTTAGAAGGTTAGCTCTGATTAATCTTCTAAAATAAGTTTGAGAAAAGGGAAAAAGAGAGAATGAGTGATGTTATTAGGTAACTACTGTAATGAGAATTACAGGAAGCCTGAACTTAGGTAGTGGTGACAGAAATGGAAGGAGAGGTATGATCAAACATGAGAGTAGTTGGGTAAGTCTTCAGACTTGAAGGGAAAAAAGAGAAACAGTGTGAAGTCTGTTATAAAGCCCAGATCTCTCACAAAGTCCACAGAAAGAATGATGATATCAACTGACATCAGGATCCCTAGAACTAAGAGCAGTTTTAGAAGAGAATGAGTTTTGACTTAGACAGATTTAATCCTACAAATTTGGATACATATTTGAGAGCTCAACCTACAAGTGAGCTGCTGAAGGCTGCTGAAAAAGAGGAACTGTGGGTGACACTCACCGACCATGGGTGAATAGCCACTTCTAACTATACATTTTAATAATTCTATGGTCACAAAAACAATATTAGATATGGAAGAGTTCTTAGAAATAAACATGTCAACATGTCATGCTTTTTAAAAAAATTCTCACCTGAGAATATGGTTTTATTGTTTTGGGGGTGGGTGGAGACACAGACAGAAACATTGGTCTGAGAGAGAAACATTAATTGCTTGCCTCCCATAAGCAACTGGGGAATCAAATCGACAACTGATAGCAAAAGGAAGGCCAAATATTATAGTCATTTGTTCAGCTTTGCCAGAAAACTGTTGTTTAGACGCATGTCCAGTAAAGTCAACATGAAACAGGGAAGGTACTTGCCTGTCAGTCACACCTGGGAACAGGTCCTTGGCCAGAATAGGCATGGCCACTGTAGAAGATCTGAGATACTTAAGCTCCTAAACAAAGGAGTTTGCTCTCTTGCCTCTTGGTTCACGCTTCTGGCTGCAGGGCCTCTCATGCTCCTACATTCGCCCACATGGCTCACAGACATTTGGACCCCATACAACGGACTGACAGATTGTAACTAGTCTAATGCTGTACAGGACCCACCTCCACCATGGAATGGAAATTCTGAACACTGGCTTTGCTTCTAGCTCTGCTGAATCCCTGGCTGCACATTTTCCAGGACTGGATTAAGGGAAATGGGACTTTGCAAACTGAAGAATATAATTCAATTAAAATAAAGTTTCCACATCTCATCCTCCTATAGGGGCCTCTGGAAATGCTTATTCCAGTGGTACCCCAAGAACCCCACTCCGACTAGCAACAGAGAAAGACCATCCACACAATTTCTCGGATAACACAACCTAGGTATGTGCCCTGACCAGGAATGCAACCCTCTGGTGTACAGGACAATGATCCAATCAACTGAACCACCTGGCCAGGGCAACTTGTCATGCTTTTTAAAGAAACATCAACACAGTATAGATAAAGGACTAACTACTGAACAACTATCAGCGCCGAGCACACATAGTTCTCTTCACCAAATACTCTATCAAGTGCCCATTATCTGCCAGGTAACAGGAATACAGAAATGAACTGGAAGGCCTTAAGGAGGTCAGAGTCTAATGGTGAAGATGGGGCAAAGAATAAGTTCAATGAAATATGGTAACAGGAGAGCACAGAAGAGGGGTGAGATGAGATTTCTGAAAAACTACCTAGAAAAGTTACCTAAGCTGATGAATAAAAGTTGGTAAGGCAGATAACCTGAGTATTTTTGCCCTCTGAAATATACAAAGCATAACCTAATTAGTGTTTATGCCAAAAGTGTTTAAGCTTTATCTAATCACAAGGAAACAACCACACCTATAAAAAATAGGGAATTTCTACTACAGCCCCTGGGCTAGATCCAACCTGCTGCCTGCTTTTATAAATAAGGATTTGGAACACAGCCTATTGTCTGTGGCTACTTTCCTACTAAAACAGTAAAGCTGAGTAGTTATAACAGAAACTACAAGTCTAAAATATTTACTCTCTGCTCCTTCACAGAAAAAGTTAGTTAATACCTGCTCTAGAAAACAACTGGTTGGCACACTTCAAAAAAAAGAAATTTAATAAACATTTTAAAAGGAAGGGACTAAGGCAGAAGGACTGTTTTACTTTAAAAGACAAAAGAGACCTCGGATTAGTTCTTAGGGGAGAAAAGGGCCGTCCATAATAAGCATTTAAAGGACATTTACATATTGTTTATTTTTAAATTAATGTCAATGTTCTTCTGAGTGTTGATGGTATGGTAGTTATATAGAATGCCCTTATTCTTAGGGTACACGTGTTAAGTTATTTAAGTGAAGTGTCATGATATTACAACTTAATTTTAAACAGTTCAGAATAAAATCTTCCCACACACGTGTATTTACATATATGTATATATACGTGTATATTGGGACATACACATATTTTTAACTATCTAGAGAGAGGTTGATAAAAAGCAAACGAGACAAAATATGAATCAGAAAAATAAGTAAAAGATATCCAGATACTCTAGTAAAAGCCAGAACTAACAAGGGAAAATAGACTAATTCTAAAAACAATGTGTACAAATGTATGGAGTAACAAAACAGTATTTAAAATAAAAAATTCTATAATTTAAATTTTTTATTAATATAAAGAGCAATGACCCATTATAAAAACCTAAGTTATAAAGCAGACTCACGTTGCATTACTGAATCCAACATATTCATTACCAGCCATCTTATTCAAAAACTGCATCACCTATAAACCAAAATTAAAAAGTATCAATATCAAAAAACAAATATGTAAAAGAATGTAGCATAAACACTGAATTCTATATTGCACTTACATAGTCAAACTTTTCAGCATTATTTACTCCTTGCTGCAAAGAAATGAGACATAAAAACATTAATGAAGGCACCACCACAGTTAAGTTTTAAATGAATATAATATAAAAATTTCAAACTATCATTATAATTAATATACTGTGCATTAGTACTTTTAAATCTAGGAAATACTTCTAAAGTAACTTAATAGTTATATAAACTACATATATATTGTTTCATTAATACCTATATGTTGAGAATGGATCTGATTATAGAGGGAATGCTTTAAGTATAATTTTACCCAACCCAAAATTACAGAATTTTAAATACGTTACTCCAAATCCCTTATCTTTCATGACAACAGATAATCTGCTAAAAAATGTTATTTATTTAATTTCATATTTTTAAAAAACTTAAAAGTTTCACCCTTAGAGAAAAACTAAGTATATATAAATTATGATTTTAAATTAAGAACAATCTACTTATATATTTTTAATAATCTTAAAGCAATATTAGAGTTAGAAAAATGAGTTATGTTGCAAAATTAATTTTTTATAATTCTAGTATATGTAAATATTCTGGATAGATTTTACTAGAGATCTCACTTGTTATATAATAAAACTAGAACTAAAAAAAAAACCATATTTCATAATTTCTAAAAAAGTGCTACATATGTATTTAGCATTATGCCAATTCAGAATATGGAAGATGTATTGTTTCATCACTTCTATTTCTGACATGTTAGCTACTGCAAATGTCAATAGGCAAAACCTATGTAATGTAGATCAGTTCAATTAGCCAAGTGGTTTCATTTTACCTCAGCGAAGTTTACAAAGCAGTAAGTTGTAGATCTGAAATCAAACGTATTAATTGGTGATATGCACCCAAAAGAAACAATACATCTCTAATTTAAAAACAAGTTTAAAATAAAATAATTTGACAACTATAGTTTTAAAAATTAAAAATGTTAACCTTACCCTCAAAAAATCCAAATCACTACATTGAAAATTTTATTATGGGGAAAACCTGTATGACAGCATTATTTAACTGAAAAAAGCCAGGTTCATTCTCCACTTTATAAATGGATTAGAATGTGGCTGATAATCTGTGAAACGCTATAAATCAACTTATGTAAGAAAGGATGTGCAATCACATATGCAATCAGTAGCTGGAAAGAACACAGTTTTTAGTCCAAATTAGGTATTAACAAAGCTTAAACAAGATAAGGATAATTTAGCTACAGGCATATAATAATCACCATGTATTTTCTCTAAAGTGTTCTTTGACATATTTTAAGTTTTCTTTCCCTATAATACACCAGAAATCAAAATGTAGAAATGTAACTCCAAAGCTGTTCAATGAAAAATAATTAAAAGAAGAAATTACCAACTTCATTGAACTGTTGCAGTTGTCAAAATATTCCATAGATCCTAATGCTGTAAAATATGTAACAACATTTAAACCACAAAAACCTTTTTAACCTTTGAAAAAGCACAAAAAACAAAAAAAAAGAAAACAACTCTTTTGGAAAAGGATGTCAGCATTTGCATTATGATGTTACATGAATATTTACTGTTATACAATTAATCAATGTAAAACAAGTTATACTGAACTTTCATTCTGTGATCTAAATTGTGCCCTATAAAATTAACACAAATTTTATTTAGCTGTTGTGTTTAGTAAAAAAAAAACCTGTTCCAACCCTAGACTATTGTCAAATTTTTGTAGCTTCCTTAAATTCAAGTATGATTAAGTTTTGCTTCTATTCCGTTTTTAAGAAACTATCGATATTTATCAATGTCTATCATCATAAAAAAAATTGGGTAAGCTACTTGAAATGGTCTAGGCAATTATGTAAAAAAAAGCAAAACGAAATATCTGAATGATTGTTTATTCAAGAAAGTTGCTACAAAACTTTCCCACTTAAATATAAAAGCACTTGATTAATGTTTGTTCTTATTATGTATCTTAGAAATAGCATTTAACTTGTCAATAAATATATTTGCTCCTGTACCTCTTAGAAAGATTTCATGTACTCTAGAGATATATTGGATCTAACAATCATTGTAAGATGTCATGTTATTTTAATTTTGAAAAAGGTACTGTGGTTTGTTTGCAAAGATGTTAGGAAAAAATATACATACAAAATAAACTAGAGTAAATATCCTCAAAAAAAAAAAAGCAAATATGAACTGTAAAAAAAAAAAAAATACCATCATTATTATCAAATAGTGGGTGCAGCGGTGTGGAGGAACAGATGTGAAAATTAAAGATGGGAATAGGAACATGGGCGCTAGGTATACTATTCCGTTTATTTTGTGTATGTTTGAACATTTTCATAAAATGTTAAAGAAAAAAAGTTTATTTGCTAATAATTTCTCGTGTTAATTTACAAAATTGTTCCTTGAGAATACTTTTTTCCCATAAAACAGTAGTTGATTTTTAATTAGTTCATGTATCAGTGGATAGTTTCTATTACTAGAATGAGTTTCTCTTATTATTTTAAATTTATACAGATGTATGAGTTGAGAAATATTGCTGACAACAGATGAGTAGGTGGAAAAAGAGAAGGTTTTCTAGCAAATGTCACTCAGTATTTTACACATCTACCTCATTACATACAAAAGTCACAGAACCTGAAGCAGTGCACCACATAAAAACTGAGGACACATGAGAAATATGCTTTTCTTTTAGAAAATGGGAGGAAACCTGGACCAAAGGCAGATTAACTTTTAAAAAAAGCATATATGAAAACAGATTTGGAAATTGATCATCTAAAACTATAAATGCCCCTTTTTCTCTTGGGAAAAAATCCTATACCCAGGAATATGTTTATCCCAGTTTTAATCACTGTGCAGTATTATTAGATATCGTGTTAATCTTGAAAAAGTTACAGTACATTTAGCAGGAAAACTTTTAAAAAATAAACTGGACAAATATATTAACCAAATTCCTAATGCATTGAACAAATGACTTTTTTTTTAAAAAAAGTATGTTTTTACTGATTTTTTTCAGAGAAAGGAAGGGACAGAAACATCGATGTGAGACAGAAACATGGACTGGCTGCCTCTTGCACACCCCGTATAGGGGATCGTGCCTGCAAGCTAGGCATGTACCCTGACCAGGAATGGAACTGGGACCTCTCAGTCCATGGGATGATGTTCAAGCCACACAGGCCAGGGTGACCAAATGACTTTTTTAAATACTGATTTATTTTTTTTAAATGTGTTTTTATTGATTTTTAGAGAAGAGGAAGGGAAAGAGATAGAAACATTGATGAGAGAGACACATCGAATGACTGCATGTGTCCTGACCGGGAATCAAACTGGCGACCTCTTGGTCCATGGATTGATGCTCACCCACTGAGCCACACGGCTGGGCTGACCAAACGACTTTTAAAACACAAACCATGTGGCTTGTTTGAAAAAGGTAATAATTAGAACCCAAGATTAGAAAATTATATATATATTTTTTTCTATAAATATATCTATCAAAGACATTAAAGAATTTACATTTCTTTAAAGAAAACTTTTATAAATGAAAATTTGATTAAGAGGCAGTGAGTTTTAACATGGGCCAATAAAAGAATATAACTATTATTGGAGTGTTTTTACAATATACTCATGAATTGAATCATGTATCATACAATTTAACAGGTGAAAATATCACTGTTAACAGGGATAAATTTAATATAAAAATGACATTTAAAATCACTACGTTAATCAGCTCCTTTGTATGTAAATAACTTGATTCCATTAATAAAGTATGGAAATGTAAAAGTCAATTGACAATTAGAGATGTTAAAAAGGGGCATGGAAGAAAGAGGCAAAAGCAACTGAAAATTTTATAAAATATTCCCAGTTTAATTTTGCCACAGAATATGCTTTAAAAGCTAAATATCTGGAGTATTATAATAGGTATTGCAGGTAAAAAATAATGTTCTAAATCTAGTTTTTATCACATATTAACCCTAAAAATAAAGCAACAGAAAAGTGAATTCTGTTGGCAAGAAATTATTTGATTTCATTTAAAAGAAACCCCAAACACACCAACTGATATACATATGAAGTAAATAAACCAATATAATTCTTTCTTATGAATGTCAGCAAATCTAAGACATCATCCATTGTTCCCCAGAGCCACAAATCGCCTTAAAATGTGGCTTATAAGCAAGTCTAACAGGTTATTGCTAATATGACCAAACCGATCATTATATACATATTAACTGATCTGTCTTGATTTTATTGAAGTATGATTAAACTGTTTTAAGAGAAAGAAGGGGAGAAAAAAAAAATCTCTGATTTTAATTAAAAAATACTCTGATTAAAAAAAAACTGAGCTTCTTCAAAGGACAAAAACTGGAAACTACCACTAGAATAGAGACACATAAACAGAGAAGACAATGTAGCTCTTTACTTTTAAAATAAAAAAGCAGAAGTGTGGCAATAATCTTGTAATGTGTTATTCTCATTTTCGTACCCTAACCTTCAAGTTGTCACTAGACATAACTTTAAACTGCAAGTAGGTGAAAATTTTACCACTGGAAAGAAAAAAATGACATTAAGAATACTGCTATTTCATCCAGAATAACTGCACTTTCAATTTTTTTTTCCTCTATAAATCAAATAAGCACATTATCATCATCCAATAAAACAAAGTGCATCAAAAAGTATTCCTTTAAATTAGCTACCATAGATAAGAGAGGAAGTATAGTACCTTTATGTTTTAATTATGTATGTTTCATGTACAAAATGACATTTCTTTTATGAAGGTATTTACCTATATAGCTTTGTTTAAAATTTTAAATACTGGCGATTTCCTATAAGTTTAGTAGTTAAGAATATATGCAACAGGTTCCTTCTGTCCAAATGCTCCTTTTTTTCCACAATCTGCTAATCCTTTTGAACATTTGTTCTGCCTCTTCCCCCATTTCCTGAGGATCACCACCAATCCTACAAGGAAAAAATATCGACACTACAAAATTATGAAATAAAGAGTCTTACCAAAGACTCTACTTATTTGTGTGTGTGTGTGTGTGTGTGTGTGTGTGTGTGTGTGTGTCAGAGGGGAAGTAACAAAGAGACTATTTTAATAGCACCATAATAAAGTCTTGAACTTTGAAAGAAAAAAGAAAATTTTAGGTTATTAACTAAAAAAGCTAAAAAAGTGAACTGATATCTAGTAGCCATGATTTTAAAATATCCAAACTCTTGGTACTCTTTAAGAAGCCTAGGTCTTACATATAGTAAGCACAGATTATCTCAAGAATGACTATATGCACCACTAAAAATTAAATGTAACTTTTAAGCCAATAAATTTGTATCTTTTGTATACATTAAAATTCAGAAAGTAAAATTTCTGCTTCTTGGACAATATAACTGTGCTAGGTAAAGACAAAGATGTAATTAAGAGAAACAGCAAACAGAATCAGGAGATTTAGCTCAACCCTCATTCTGCTGCTGGTAGAACATATCCAGTCTTAGTTTCCTCACTGCATTTATAAAAAGTAAGAGTGCTGGACTTGAAGACCCTTTTGGCTATGGTTTTATTACCTCAATTTCAATGACCAATTCATAAATATCATGTGATCATATAACTTGCAGAGATTACATATAATCAATTGTAAGAGTTCTGCATTCTTTTTTAAAAGAGTCTAAGAAAAGTATTATATACTGGGGCAGTCAGTTTTCAAAGGTACATCAGGCTTACCACTCCAAGATTTAGATAAACATCATTGAAAAACAACAAAACCTTGTGTAACACCTTCTAAAAACAAATAAAAATAAAAATTCAAAGAAAGTGACTAAATATAAACCATACCCCAAAGCTTCATTTCCAGTAAATTTAAAACATTTATAAATTTAAAGTCACTGGTCAAATTTTTAAACACAAGATGACTCAGTTAAATTTTTGCACTGTTGGACACTGAACCACACTTGCGTATGTGTTTTTTTTAACTCTGTTCCTAAGCGCTCACATTAATATGGTTCAATGTATAGTTGCTGGCTTGTGGATGAACATGGTAAGTGAAACTAATGAAGTGATTGTGTGATATGACCAGACATGCATTTCACACATGCAGCATTTCAGTGTGGTATATTAAACCCATGAATCATTAAACAGAAGATGCATGCAGTTAAGGAAGACTTCTATTAATCATTTACATATGCCCTTTCTTGATAATACTATTGTTGTGCCATGTTAATCTTTCTCCAGTGTAAGAGAGTTATTAAACTAGGAACCATGGATCAGCTTCTAAGGGTTTGTGAATTCCAAAAAATTTATATAAAATCATGGTATGTGAACATTTTTTCTAGGAAGATCCAAAAAACGTTCACAACCATTCTAGTGGTTTTCTCATCAAACATTATTAACACATACACTGTCTTATTAAAACTTTGCTTACCTCTAATTCAAGTTACTTGTTCAAATCTAACAATTACTGAGACTTTACTTTCATTGCCGTATTTATTTAATTTCACTGTAAGGGCCCATTTACTTGTGTATACTCCACACTATAACGTTAGCCACCTGAAGGTAGGACTATGCCTAGCATATATTCATTCATATTATAATTTTCTACAATAAACAGTTTCATTTTATCTCAAACTGACAAATTTTCTCTTATGTAAAACCGTCATAAATAACTAGATGTTATAAGGAACAAAATGAAAATTTCCATAGCTTATTAAAATTAGTTACATTAAAAAATAATACTTGGCTATAATATCAACCTCACTAGAGTTATAAGATTTAAGTGTGCTAATAGTTTCAAAGCATTTGCCCTAAAATAACAGCTAACTATATATATTCTTAAAATAGTAGCCTTCTACTTTAAAGGCCCTTTCTCATGAACAAGTAAAATTCATTAAAGAGCAGATTTCTAGTATACAAAGTAGATGCATTTTGATTAATTGGGCCAAGAGTATAATTTATATTTGAACATTCTTTGTCTAACCAAGATATCCCATCTTCAGTAATGCATCTACTAAGCCATGGTTCTTTTTTTTCCAAGCTTGAAATATATAGGCACAGATTTACTAAAGACAGTAAGTACATTAAGTGTTCCAAACACAAATGAAATTTATTTGACTATAACTAAAATTTATAATTAGAAATTAAAATCTAAACAGTATCACACAACAGACCCATTTTCAAATATTTCAAATGACATTAGAGTTTCCAATTATTAAGGCAAACCAGACACTAAAAAAAAAAAAAAAACTCAAAACATACAATGCAAACAAAAACTTAAGAAAAATAATATTACTTAATAATTGGAATGAGATTTATTTTAGTTACATGACTAAAAAAAAACAAATAAAGCAAGTTCAAATTAAAATAAAGTTCATGAAAATATAAAAGACTTGAGAATATTCAAGAGTACATGTACTTTGTCTTAACACAAAGTATCAGAACATTTGTTCCTAAATATGTTGATGACAAACGTTAATCAGTAAAATGTTTTTAACTCTGTTTACATCTGTTCATTCTAAAGGAGCCAAAAAGAAGAGAAAGAAAAAAATATCAAAACTTTAAGAAGAAAAATTTCTGTGCCTACTGTTCAGCAGACTTTTTCAATTTTTGCCAGATCTCAGGTCAAGAATAACTATTGAAATTTACAATGAGTCATCTGTTCTTAATTTTGGCCTTGAAATTATATAATTTATTTTTATATAAATAACCTAATTTTATACCATAAGATTAATTTCTTTAACACCAAAAGAAAACTTTTTACTTTCTACATAAATAATCCAAAATTCACATTTATGCCTTAGTTATTTAAAAAATTTACTTGGTTAAAAGGAAATGTCAACATTTTACCTTTATTAATGAAGTCACAACAATTGCTCCAGCATTTACCATAGGATTATGTGGCTTATCTGTAACATATAAAACCATATAGCATTATTTCAAATACCTGATATCACTCTTTGTGATGCATAGGTTCTTCACATGAACATACATCTATTTCTTTATGTAAGCCATTGTTACAGTTCTTTTGGGGTGGGGTGAGAGAGGGGAAGAAGTGTGGAGGAATGCATTTAAAGTCATTTACATGTCAAACCAATAATACACCTTTAGGAAGCTGTTACAATAATCATATAAGCAAACAAAGATTTATGTACAAAAAGGCAGGAATTAGTAGTGTTAAGAGCACATCCAAATTTCCTAATTCTCCCATTTACTAACCATGGACAAGTAACTGATCTTTACTGTGCCTCAATTTTCCCATTTGTAAACTAGGCTAAGTACTAACACCTCAGCAAGTCATAATGTCAATAAAGGATTCTGGTCAAGATAAAGGAATAAGTAAAGATGGTAGCGGCATCCTCCAATCATCACATCATTATAAAAACTCAACTACAGTACAACCATTATTGAGAACTGCCTTAAATCTAGCTGAACGCTGAACAGAAGTCCTATAACTAAAGATATACAGAAGACAAATTGAGAGTGATAAAAGGGGCAGAGACTTGAACAGCTTGGTCCCACACCCACATATGGAGGTTAAAAATCAGGAGGGATATCTTGGCTTCAGAGGGCCCTGAAAATCGAGGGGTCCCAGACCCACACCAAGTTCCCCAGCCCAATGTTCCAGTGCCAGAAAGAGAAATCCCTATAACTTCCGGGTGAAAACCAGTGGAGATTATAGATAAGGTGGAGGGCTGCTGGAGTCCCAGGCATTCATATTAAAGGGTCTGCACACAGACTTACTTGGACTCACTGCCTCTGAGCTCCAGCACTGGAGCAGTGGGTCAAAAGGTGCCAGAGATATACAGGGAAGAACTGAATTGTCTGTGTTTGGGGCAAGGACTGGAGGAGCAGCTTTCTCACAGACAGAAGTGCTGGCAGAAGCCATTATTTCTTTGCTGAGTCCTCCCACTGCAGATGTAGGCAGGGCCCATATCTGAGTCTTTATCAACCTATCACTGTTCACCTTGCCCTGGTGATTCCCTGAGACCCCACCCACCCAACTTGTGGGTTCACCCAAGTCGCTTCCAGTGGCTTTTCCATACAAACGCCTCTGTTGGCTCATGTTGTGGACTTTCCTAAATTCTTTCAAAGGTTCACAAACCCCAAAGTAGCAACATGTGGCCTCAGCATGCCACATACCTCTAGCTAAGATATCTGGGCCTGGCACTAGTGGCAGTTGGACTACATTCTCAGCATGGCCTCTCTTGGGCACCTCCAAGCCCAGCACTAGTAGCAGCCATCAGCTGATCACATTGTAGTTCATGCCAGATGACCCAGGGCAGGGTACAGGCAGAGGTTCACCTTGGCCTGCACCTCCTAGGAGGCCCCAGAGCCAGTGCACCCAGTGGCCAACTTCAGGCCATGTGGAGTATCACCAACCACCTCCAAAAGCAACACACTCAAGGGGCAGATTTGACTGGTACCAAAGCCCCAGTGCAGCAAGTTTTGCTCTGTGGGTTTGGCCCCACACAGGAGCAACTCCACTATAATCACACCTAGTCCTCTTAGCCAATCAGCCTGGAAATCACTCCCTCCAACTGACACACCCACAGCAATCAAGACTCATGGCCCAGCTCCAGTGACCAGGGAGGCTTAGTCACTGGGCCCTACATAAAGCCATCCTACCAAGACTGGGAGACATAGTAGCTCTACCTCATATACATAGAAACAAACAGAGAAGCAGACAAAATGGGGAGACAAACATGCCTGAAATGAAAGAACACAAGAAATTTTTAGAACAAGAACTAAATGAAATGGAGGCAAGCAAACTACCAGAATACAGTTCAAAACAATGGTTATAAGGATGCTCAAGGAACTTAGTGAGAAGTTTAAAAGTATAAAAAAAGACATAGAAAGCATAAAAAAGGGTCAGTCAGAAATGAAGAATATAACAGAAACAAAAAATACACTAGAAGGAATCAATAACAGATTAGAGGAAGCACAGAATCAAATCAGGAAGACAAGGTAGCAGAAAACAGCCAAAAAGAGCAGCAAAAAGAAAAAATATTTTTAAAAATGTAGATAGTTTAAGGGACTGTGGGACAATATCAGATATAAAAACTTGTGGTATTCCTATCTATATGATAGAAATACCAGGAGAAAAATGAGAACAAGGGAATGAGAGGCTATTTAAAGAAATAAAGAAGCCCACACCAAGGCACATCATAATTAAAATGCAAAAAGTTAAGACAAAAAGAGAATCTTAAAAGCAGTTAGAGCCCTGGCCAGTTTGGCTCAGCAATTAAGAGCGTCAGCCTGCGGACCAGTGAGTCCCAGGTTGGGTTCCTGCTAAGGGCACATACCTCGGTTGCAGTTTGTCCTTGCCCCAGGTGGGGTTGTGTGGGTGGCAACTAGTCAATGTGTCTCACATCACTGATTCTCTCTCTCTCTTCCCTCCCCCTCCATCCCATTCTATCTGAAGATAAATGCAAAAATATCCTCAGGTGAGGATAAAAATGAAAAAAAAAAGTTAGTTGCTTCCAAGAGAGCTCCCATAAGACTGTTGGCTGATTTCTCAACAGAAACTACAGCCCAGAAGGAAGTGGCACGAAATACTAAAAGTGATAAAAAGAAAGAACCTATAACAAAGATAACTCAACATGCAGCAAAGCTATCATTTAGAATTGAAAAACAGATCAAGAGCTTCCCAGACAAGAAAAGGATAAAAGAGTTAATCACCACTAAACCACTATTACAAGAAATGTTAAAGCATCTTCTTTACAAAAAAAAAACACACACAAAGAAACAAAATATATAAAATGGCAATAAATACATAGCTGTCAAAAATTACATTAAATGTAAATGGACTAAATGCTCCAATCAAAAGACATATAGTGGCTGAATAAAAAACAAAACAAGACCCTTACATATGCTGTCTATAAGAGACTCAAGTTCAGATCAAAAGACACACACTGATTGCAAGAATGGAAAAAATATTTCATAAAAAAGGAAATGAAACCATATAAAATAAAATGTCTGAGAAGTGCCCTGGCCGGTCTGGCTCAGTGGTTAGAGTGTCAACCCATAGACCAGAGTAGTGGGTTCAATTCCAGCTAAGGGCACATAGTTTGGTTGCAGTTTGTCCCCATCCCTGGCTGGGGTTGTGCGGGAGGCAACCAATCGCTGTGTCTCTCTCATATCGGTGTTTCTTTGTCTCTCTCCCTCTCTCTCCCTCCCTCCCTCACACTCTATCTGAAGATAAATGGGAAAATAATCCTCAGGTGAGGATTGGGGGGGGGGGGGAGTCTGAGTAGCATAACAATACTTTTACCAGGCAAAATAAACTTTAAAACAAAGATTATAACACGAGACAAAGAAGGACCCAGCAATTCCACTTTTGGGTATTTATCTGAAAAAATCCAACACACTATATCGAAAAGACACATGCATCCAAGTTCATTGAAGCATTACTTACAATAGCTAAGATATGGAAGCAACTTAAGTGTCCACCAACAGATTAAAGGATAAAGAAGTGATGCAGATATACAATGGAATATGACTCAACCATAAAAAAAAAAATCTTGCCACCTGCAACAACTTAGATGGATAAGAGGGTATTATGCTAAGTGAAATAAGCCAGACAAAGACAAATGCCAGATTTCACTTATATGTGGAATCTAAAAAAAAAGCAAAATAAATGAACAAGAACAGAAACTGACTCATCATAGATACAGAGAACATTTTGATGGTTGCCAGATGAAACTGGGGTTGGAGGGATGAATGAAAAAAGTGAAGGGATTAAGAAGTACAAACTGGCAATTATGGAAGTCATGGGGATGTAAAGTACAGCATAAGGAATGTAGTCAATAATATCGTAGTAACTATGTATGAGGTCAAATAGGTACTAGATTTATTGAGGTGATCACTTTGTAAGTTATACAGATGTCTAATGACTGGATTGTACAACTAAAACTAATATATTGTAGACCAACTATAATTGATAAATAAAAAAATTTTTTAACACAGTAAAATTAAAGGGAAAAAACAATGCTTGAATAAATTGAAACATGTGAAATACTTAGAAAGGTCCTGCTATATCCTTAAGCACTCAAATAATATTACTATCAAAACCACCTTGGAAAAAGCACATCTAGTGTAAACCTAATGTTGCTTTATTTAAGTGATTAATTTTGTGTGTGTGTGTGTGAGAGAGAGAGACAGAGAGAGAATGCTCACTCGAGGATATTTTTCTTTCTTTTTTTTTTCATCTTCACTTGAGGACTTTTTGCATTTATCTTCAGATAGAGCAGGAGGAAGAGAGGGAGGAAGACAGTAACATCAATGTGAGAGAGACACAATGAGTGGTTGCCACCCACACGACCTCAACCAGGGCCGGGGACAAACTGCAACTGAGGTACGTGCCCTTAGCGGGAACCGAACCCAGGACTCTCTGCTCCACAGGCCAATGCTCCAAAAACTGAGCCAAACTGGCCAGAGCACGATTGATTTTTTTTAGATAAAGTGGAAGGGAGGAAGGAAAAGAGAGAGAGAGAAACACTGACATGAAAGAGACACATAGATTGGTTGCCTCTTGCACAACCTCAACCAGGGCCAGAGATCAAACCTGCAACCCAGGTATGTGACCCTGATCATATTCAAACCTGTGACCCTTTAGTCCATGGGCCGATGCTCTAACCACTGAGCAAACCGACTAGGCCTAAGTGATTAATTTTTGCATTTATGTGTATATATATGTATGTATGTGTGTATATATGTGTGTATAAATACACACACACACACACACACACAAATGCAGAAAAAGAAAACACTAACACGTGATACACACAAAAAGATTATAGGGGATTTTAACTGGATTCTGTTTTCTGTATTTCCTAACAATAAGGATGTATTTCTTATGTAATTTTAAAAATTACTTATAATTTAAGTTCATCCACAATCCTACCTCTTCTCCTAATTCCTAGAATAAATAGAATTTCAGATCTCAACTGATTACATTTTCATTCATGACAGGGCACAAACGCCAAACAAAACTATTAGGGCACTGAAAACATTTATTTGAAAGCATAACTCCTAATTTATCTGTTTGTGAAAGTGATTAATTTCTTTGGGAACAAGTTCTCACCTAGAAAAATCTAGAAGAATTAAGTTATTGCTACGTTATTAGTCTCCTTGAATTTTTAAGCACGTTACCTTCTGTGAGATGAGCATATAGTCAAACAACTCTGACCTCTGGAAAATAGCCCAGCAGTTTTTCTAGCTGTTAAATAAAGAGTTACCATATGGACCAGCAATCCCTCTGCCAGGTATATAAACGAGAGAAAAAAAGTAACATATGTGCACACAAAAATTTGTACACAAATGTTCACAGCAGCATTATTGATAATAGCCAGAAAGTAAAAAACTCATATATTCTTTAAACTGATAAATGGATAAAAAAAAAAAAATGCAGCATTATTACCCATACAATGGAATACTCTTCAATAATTTTTTTTTTAATTTTTTTTTTTTATCCTCACCCAAGGACATTTTTCCATTTTTTGTTCAGGTAGAGTGGGAGGGAGAGAGAGAGTGAGAAACATCGACGTGAAAGGGACACATCAAGCAGTTGCCACCCGCACGACCCAAGCAGGGGCGGGGACAAACTGCAACCAAGGTACATGCCCTTAGTGGGAACCGAACCCGGGTCTCTCTGGACCACAGGCCGACACTCTAACTGCTGAGCCAAACCGACCAGGGCTCTTCAATGATTTAAAAAAGCGAAGTACTGGCCCTGGCCAGTGTGGCTCAGTTGATTGAGCATGGTTCCATGCACCTAGAAGTCACTGGTAAAATTCCCAGTCAAGGCACATGCCCAGGCTGCAGGCTCAATCCCCTGTAGAGGTCATGTAAGAGGCAGCCGATCGATGTTTCCCTCTCCCTTCTTCTCTAAAATTCATTAAAAACAACATATATTTGCTCGGCCAGTGTTGCTCAGTGGTTGCGCATCGACCCATGCACCAAGAGGTCCCCGGTTCGATTCTGGTCAGGACACATGCCCAGGTCGTGGGCCAGTTTCCCAGTGGTGGGCATGCAAGAGGCAGCCGATCTTTCTATCCCTTCCTCTCTCTAAAAAAAAATCAATAAAAACATATTAAAGAAATAAAAATTAAGAAAAAAAGAGTACCTATAATTTCATTAGCTATTCATTATATTCATATTAATCTTATCACAATTTTATAAAACCAGGACAATAGTACACGTGGGGTTTTTTGGCGTGGTTTTTTACTTGAGGAAAGAGCTATTTATTTAAAGGAAATACAAAAGGCCCAATACTTTTAGACATGGAATTTACACTTGCTGGAATTTTCACGAATAAAAATTAATTTCACTAAGTACATGTGGTTTTTTAAAAATTTTTGTAATGCTACACACACAATCACACATGCACATATGTAAAGTGTATAGTTTCACCATAAGTCTACCCTTGAAATTTTAAAAATGAAAAAGACCTATTGTTTCTCTTTTTCAAGATTGTTTTGGTCATTCTGAGTCACTTGCATGTTCATGTGAATTTTAGGATCAGCTTGTTAATTATCAGAAAAATAAATTAAAAAGCTAGGATTTTTATAAAGATCATGTTGAATATAAATTAATTTGGAGAGTATTGTCATTTTAACAATATTAAGTCTTCCTATCCATGAATATGGAATGTCTTTCCATTTATTTACATCTTTAGTTCATTAATGTTTTGTAGTTATCAGTATACAAACTTTGCACTGCTTTTGTTAAATTTATTTCTAAGTATTAAAAAAATTATTTACAAAGAAAAAAAAGAAGACAACCTATAAATTGTTTTTGCTAAAACTAGTGTAAAAGCAGACTCTAGAATATAGAACCTATGCAGAACTCAGAAAGGAGTGGTATAATGAAGTCTTCATTTTTCCATTACTTCAAGATTCCTAGTTTTGGCTCAGGAAAAGGTCAAAGAATATCAAAGAAAAATCTTGTCAAATTTTCTATTTCAGATATTACAAATTAGTGTTAAATTCCAGAGTTCTTATCGTGAATTTTTTCTTATACACAATGTCAATAAATCATAATTTTTTAAATCATAAATGTACATGGTAAAAAATGTTTTACTTATATTAAGTTCACTTATCTTAAACCCATTTTATTTATTTGTTTCTAAAATACTTTTTCATACCAAACTCTTATATTTTGTAATTTGTATTTAAATCTCTCTCCCAAAATCAATCAATTCAGCCCTGGCTAGGTGGCTTAGTTGGTTGAGCATCATCCCATACATCAAAAGGGTTCTGGTTTGATTCTCAGTCAGGGCACGTATCTAGGTTAAGGGTTTGATTCCCAGTCGGGGAGCATACAGGAGGCAACCCATTGATGTCTCTCTCTCACATCAATGTGTCTTTCTCTCTCTCTCGCCCTTCCTCTCTCTAAAAACATATCCTTGGGTGAGTATTAAAAACATAAATAAAATCAATTCACCAGAACCACCTAGATTTAGTTAACTTAAGTAGAAAAATATTAATTTTTCTTGTAAAATGTTTAATCTCATTAGAAAATTCTTTCCATATTAAATCTTGATGTCAGTGAATTTATTATTTTTAATTAAACTTAGTTTTGTTAGATGTCCCTCCTTTCCCCCTCCTCCCTGCACCTGCCCCTCCCCCTACCTTCACAGTACTGTTGTCTGTGTCCATTGGTTATGTGTATATACATATTAGTTCTTTGGTTTATCTCTTTCTACCCTCCCACCCTCCCTCCCCTCTAAGGTTTGTCAGTCTGTTTCCTACTTTCATGTCTCTGGATCTATTTTGTTCATCAGCTTATTTTGTTTATTATATTCCACAAATAAGTGAGATCATGTGATATTTATATATTTCTCTGATTGGCTTATTTTGCTTAGCATAATTATCTCCAGGACTTCTATGTCTTGTCTCAAAGGGTAAGCGATCTTTCTTCCTTACAGTTTGATGTCAGTGAATTTGATAAAGTACTTCTGTATGTAATGTTCTTACTGAAGTTACTAGTTTATGGTAATCTCCATAAAATCAAATATAGCATCAAGATAGAAAGATAAAATAAGTAATAAAATGTAATTGCTCTCAAAATAAATAGCAAAAGAAACATTTTATAACATAACTAAAAGAATAAAACAATGGCCCTGGTCGGTTTGGCTCAGCAGTTAGAGCGTCGGCCTATGGTCCACAGAGACCCAGGTTCGGTTCCCACTGGGGGCACGTACCTCGGCTGCAGTTTGTCCCCCGCCCTGGTTGGGTCGGGCAGGTGGCAACCACTCAATGTGTCCCTTTCACATCGATGTTTCTCTTTCTCTCTCTCTCCCCCTCCCACTCTATCTGAACAAAGAATGGAAAAATGTCCTCGTGAGGATAAAAATAAATAAATAAAATAAACAAAAAATAAAACAATGACGACTATAAACCATATTGTATTTTTTTTACCCAGCAGAAAGAAAAAACACAGAAGTATATTTCTCCAAACCATTATTACAACCACTGAACTCCTTCACTATTGCTTTCTTCAATTATATCTTAACTTATCACACAATGAGGAACCTAGCATATGCCTGAAAGATTAAAAAATAGAAACACGTCTATAGGTTGATATGTAGATTTAAAACAGCAACCGGATCAAAAGTACTAACTACCCTTGTCCTCCCACCCTTTTCTTTTGGATCTCTGTAAAGTAATAAGGCTTGTTAGTTGTCCAACTAGTTAATGTAGATGTTTCTTTCAAATAGTGTTATAAAACAGAAAAGGCAAAAACACTATCTCAACTAGGGCCATCATTAAAAACTTGTTATTATAGAAGTTTTCAAATATATACAATTTACAAAAAAAAGCAGAAAGAATAACCAATGTATCTATCCTTTAGCTTCAATAATGACCAACATATAGTAATCTTCACACCCAGCACTCCCAACTACACTCCACTGAACTATGTTAAAGCAAATCCCAGACATTGTGAGATTCTACTATAATATATTCCCCTATAGGTGTTTATAACGTGAAAAATCTTACTCCCTGCCCCCCATCTTCTCCTTATCCCAATTTCCAGTGGTATGAGATACCTAAAATAACCATTTATAAAAGCAGGTGATTAAACCATTTCTATGGGTTTCATGGAATTCTATGAAAAATGAAAGTACAAATGCTTTTAAATTTTCTTGAAATAAATGAAAAAAATAGCCCAGCCGGTGTGACTCAGTGGTTGAGTGTCAACTCATGCACAGAGGTCACCAGTTCTATTCCTGGTCAGGGTACATGCCCAGATTGTGGGCCCCAACCCCAGTTGGGAAATGCAGGAGGATGCCAGTCAATGTACTCTCTCAATGATGTTTCTGTATCTTTCTCCCTCTCCCTTCCTCTCTCTCTAAAATTCAATTAAGAAAAAAAGTAAATAGAGTACTAAGAATTCAACTTAAAAATAAATAAATAAATAAATAAATAAATAAATGAATGAATGAATGAATGAAAAAAATAACCACTCAGGTTTACATAGGAAAGTAAGATATTTCTTTTTCCAACCAACTATTAAGTAATTCTTACCATCTTCATTTAAAAACAGTTTGTTGAATCTTAATCCGCTTGGCTCTTTCCCAACATACCGATGCACATATTCCGTTCCAAGATCATTAACAGCAATGGCATATTTCAAAGGTTTTACACAGGACTGAAGACAAAATGGAACTTTGGTATCTCCAATAGAATGCCTATTTAAAAGCAGATTAAATAAATAGTTAGGATAAACTGGAATAAATGTAACTGAGTCACTGGAATTATTTTTACATGTTAATTCTAATTTACAAAAGTTTCCCCATAATGCAACCACAGGTTTACTTAGCTATTAAAAATATATATGTAAGTATATTTATTTTAAGAGGGATAGTATAAAGCAAAAGCTTAAAAGTATTCAAGTAATAAGATAATTCCAAATTAAATAATTAAGTAATGTAAACATTTTCCTCAGGGAAAGAGGGTATGGCCTCTCCTTACTCTTACTTGTATTTAATCATAAAATGAACTAGCCCTTTTAAAAATTAGTCACTTTTTTTTTTTTACTCATCACCTTAATCGTAGCTAAACCATGGTTAATTTTTAAATGGAGCACAATTTAGATTCAATACCACTCTCTGACACCCTATCTATAAATGCCTCATCTTGTCAACCATATCTTCTTACAATTCCAGCATCATTATATTAAATGGCATCCAGTATAGCTGTCACCAATAGTAATCATTATCACCATGTAGATAAACAACAGAACAACAAAAAAAAGCTACATGTTACCAAATTGGGATGTACATTAATAGGTTTAAAAATAGAAAAATTCTCACTGACCCCATTATAACATAAGCTTCACAAGGGCAAAGATCTTTGCATGACTGAAGTATCCAAAGTGCCCACAACAATACCCCAAACACATTATAGTCAATCATTCATTAGGAATGAAACTCATTCACAGTGAAACTAAGCACTATTAGTAACTACCCCCAGGCAAACAGTGGTTAACAGAGTCAGAGGGCAAACAGATGTCAGAGGACCAACTCATTTCTAATTATATTACAAAAGATAAATACATACGTGTATATATAGCAAAAGTATAATATTTTTCCTATCATCTTTATAATTTCTAATTCAGACTACAACTTGATAATCATTCTAAAACCTGACAAAAGCCTACTCTATTACTTTGTATTTAAAAATATATATGTTCTAGTCCAAAATCATCTTTTAAAATTCTCTAGATAAGAAAACTAAAAGAATCATCTCTACACACAAAGAATTTCTTTCTTTTTTTTTTTTAATCCTCACCTGAGGAATTTTTTTACATTTATCTTCAGATAGAGCAGGAGGGAGAGAGGGGGTAAGAGAGAGAGAAACATCGACGTGAGAGAGACACATTGAGTGGTTGCCACCCACATGACTGGGGACAAACTGCAACCGAGATACGAACCGAACCCAGGTCTCTGATCCCTGGGCCAATGCTCTAACCGCTGAGCAAAACCAGCCAGGGCCACACAAAGAATGTTTAAGAGAAACGCCATGTGTAAGCATTACATGACAGTAATCTTCTCCAAGTATAAAAATTGTCATTACATGATAAATCATTTCCTCCAAATACAAAAATAGAACTATCATTGCCCTGCCTACTGGAATGTGTTCCATAAGAATAAAGCCACGTTTTCTCATATATCTGTGTCCTTTCATAGCATTTTAGTATATTTTACAGGCCCAGGTGAGGATAAAAGGCTATCACTGTGACATATATAGATGTTAATAGACTAGATTAACATTTAATCAAACGCACTGAAAGAGACTCAGGTACTAGTTTTGCCTCTGCCAGTATTATACGATCTCCAGGCCTCAGATTCTTTATCTCAAAAATGAGTGGACTAAACCATATGGTTGTTTTTATTATAAATACTTGAGGAAGATAATTAGGGAAAAAAGATTAATCAGAATAAAGACACTTAAGATCCAAATTTAACAACTGGGTGGGGGGGGGGGATTTAACTGTGACATTATCTTGAAAAATAAACCACTTAAAATTATAAAGCTAAATGACCTATAGTTTTAACAAAATTTAGGGCAAAATTACATCTATGCTATAAATTCATCAAGCTGTATACAACTTAGGAGTTGCATACCGTATTTTATGTTATATTTTAATTTTAAAAAGAATTATCTTATTTAAAAAAAACAACAAAAATCTCAGAAAGATTATACCTCTAAGCTAAGTCCTCAACTGAAAAAAAAAGTAAGATTTTTCTTTTTCGACTGATAGAACCAAATTACAACACAATATTAAATCTTTATGCCTGATTCACAGTATGATAAAAAGTCATTCTTAAAAAAACATTCCAGAACTTTATCCATTTTCCAAGGGACTCTCATTAATTCATTAGTTTTTTAAATCAAATCATTCTCTTTGAAGTACCCTCAGATCTTTACCCTTTTTAGAATTCTGCTAGATTCCCATTTGTTAGTGGCTGTATGAGCACTTCCCAAAGACAGCTTTCATGAACTTCATGGAATCTTGCACGTTTTACAACTGGTTTCTTATTTTACAAATGACATATGGTCTTCACGGATTTAAAATAAACTTACCTCTGTCCATCTACTGTACAAACAGATACACCCCACAGATCAGGACTGAACTTGGCTAGTTGAGGAATATAATCTGCAACCTAACCAAAATATTGGAAATTAATAGATAAAATACAAGAAAATAATACTTTCTCCTACCAAAAAAATTTATCTCAATTTAGCTTCTACCAATGAATAGTTATTTTGTAGTACTTAGTGGCTTTGTAGTGTGCTATAACAATATTCATGAAAACTAAGGGCACAACAAACTTGAGATTTACAGATAAGATCTAAATGATTTCTCCTTCTCCATTTTCCAATGCATCTCTCTTCCTAGAAAAGTACAGTCTAAAAGAGGAACTGGAACATACATTTTTAAAATAAGGGTCATGCCAGTAGGGTTTCACTATTTAAAATCTTTCAATATGAAAAAGAAATACATTAATAGCCCTTAGTATTATTTAGAGAATATTTAAAACTGAAAACATTTTATTTAATGTTTGAGAATAACATATCTGCAGAAATTGCCAATAAAGTTACTTTTTAAAAAAAGATATAAAAGCCACTTCAATCATCTGAAAAATCAAAAAGAATTTGTAAACTTAGATTTCTTTTTAGCCAAAATAACAAAGTTAAATATTTAAAATATATTAAAAGTACTTAATTTAACTTAAGTTTCCTAATTAGCAAAACACAAGAAAATTACACAACTTTACTCTTTATATATCAAGTTGAATCAAATTTACTGAGTGACTGGTTTAGGAAAATATTCACATTAAAAACATTACCTTTCCTCCAGACTGCTTTTTAGCACTTTCATATAACTCATCGATATGAGAGGTAAAAGACATAAAGTCTGGAATAACAAATTTTCTTCTAAAGGCTTGCGTCAACAAAACAATATTGCTTTGAACACATCTGTAGAATGTGAGAAAATAAATAAATACACTGTATCCCCTTCAAATATGAGTACTTTGTAATAGCAATATTAATTAGGAAAATATTTAAACAAAAAATTCATTATTTTATACAACAAACTAAATTTTATAAATTATATTCTTTCTAATTATTTTCTTTTCTTCAAGCAGCCTTTTGTGTAGTTGCTTATAAGCTGTGGAACAAGTTAACAAAATAAATCAGATTGTCTAAAAATTATATCAAAGATTAAAATAACAGAGCAGTCCATCAGGTAAAGAGTATCAAGAACATCTAAAAACAAGATTCTTAGCCCTGGCCAGTGTTGATTGGTTGGTTGGGCATCATCCTGTACACCGAAGGGTTGCCAGTGTCCTGGTTGCAGGCTCAATCCCTGGTAGGGGGCATGCAGGAGGCAGCCGATGGATGTTCTATTCTCACATCAATGTTTCTCTCTCACTCCCTCCCTCTCCCTTCCTTTCTCTAAAAATCAATGGAACTATTTTAAAAAATGACAGTTAACAAAAATCAGACTTTAATATGTCGCAGTTGAGATCTTGTTTATTACTTTTCCATTAAGTAACCTCAGATATACTCTTAGTTCCTATAAAACTATTACTACTATTTCAAAAAAAGCTAAACAGTTTGTATTTTAACATATTTTTCCCGGATCACATTTTGAAAAATTTACATTTCTAAGCTAAAAAATGGAGATAAAATCAACTTTGTTTAGTCAGATTAATTTGTCTCTCTCTTTTTTTTTTTTTATCCTCACCCGAGGACATTTTTTTTTCCATTCTTTGTACAGATAGAGTGGGAGGGAGAGAGAGGAAGAGAGAGAGAGAGAGAAACATCGATGTGAAAGGGACACATCGAGTGGCTGCCACCTGCACGACCGACCAGGGCCGGGGACAAACTGCAACCGAAGTACGCGCCCTTAGCGGGAACCGAACCCGGGTCTCTCTGGACCGCAGGCTGACGCTCTAACTGCTGAGCCAAACGGGCCAGGGCTAATTTGTCTCTTAAACATACTTATTCAAATGCTTGTAAAAATAATAATTTTAAATTATATATAATGTAGTATAATTTATATTATTTGAATCACCAAAAATGTTTAATTACATTATTCTACTCACTGTAAGGTATGTAATACATTATAGAATAAAAATGCTTCACTGTTTAAAACTATTTAAAAGATGTATTTAAACCATGTGATTAGAGGGCATTAAATCTAAGGATTTAAACCAATATTCTGCTCTGTTCTAAAAAGAATTTAAGCCAGAAATTCAATATATTAATGTAACTTTGAAAAAGGTTAGAGCCAACCATATACTCTAGTCTCATCTTCTTTAGAGTTCCAGTAACTCAGCAATAAAATATTTACTTGCTAAAGGAAGACTTGTTAGACATGAGTATCAAGTTATAATACCATCTTAAGACTAAACCCTAAAGAGACCAAAGCAAAAAACAAAAAACAACAACAACAACAAAACAAATGTTTATAGTTGAAGTATTAAAATCAAAGCATTAACTATGGGAAGTCATTTATGTATCTGATTCCTCACAGGTAAGTGATGTGACACTGTATTAGCAGCTTCTTTGAGGAAGAAGAAAAAAAATCCAAATTGGCATTTAAAAATAAACAAAAACACTAAGTTTCAAGTATTATTTATCCTGTTTAATCCTGAAAACATAAACACTTTGAGAAGGATAATTTCCCCACTTTACAGATAAGAAAGCTCTGTAACCAGCAAATAAATAACTTGCACTAATTATAAATGGAGAAATGAAGTAGACCACTTTCAGTATTTCTTTTATAGCCCATAGTGAGAAATTTTAACTCAAGTTATTCTAAATAAAACATCAAATTAAAATTAAAAGCCAAATTTCACATTTTAACTATTAATACAAATTCAGAATATATACTCACTTGGTCAATGTAAAATTAAAACAATGATTTAAAATAACATAGGTTGTTTTCAGTGATAAAGATATGCCCCAATCACAACATGAAAAATTATAGTTCTAATTTCCATTAGTAACCTATAGACATAGAAATAATTGACACTCCGGAGATAACAAGTATTTACACTTCAGTAAATTTTGATAAATTGTTTTCTGATAGGTTCACAATGTTAATCTAAAAAAATATGTTTTGCTATTCATTTAATAACAATATATTTCAAATAGCAATTCAACTTATATATGAGAGCTGCAAGAAATATATACTGAAGAATACATTTCTCAGCAGAAAAAAGTTAAGACAATTCCTGATCTTAAATCACTATATATGTATCAAATCAAATACACATCCTTATTTTTTAAGAAATTAAGCATGAGAAAATATGAGGACTGCCAAACAAATTTAAATTATTAACTTACTACTAACTATTTAACTATTTAAAATTATCAGCACTTTTTAAAGGAGGCTTTATAATTAACAAAACTGTACAGTCAGTAAAAGTAGGGATTTTTTTTTTTCCTGTCTCAGAAATTGCTGGTAAAGCTATTATAACAGCCTTAACTGGTGAATTACTATATCCAACAAAAGCAATTTTAAAACTGAGAAGGGTGTCTAACTGCATAATGATGAGCATTCCAAACAGTACATGTTTTTCCTGGGAGTTATTTAATACAGATGCAATGAATCTAGAAAATTAGAAGTCATATAAAATGAACTCTGAGGTGAAAGTGCTTATGCATTTCAGCAAGTCATATCTTTCTCATGCTTTGTTCAGTCGTCTCATCTGCAAACTGGGAATAATCATTTTTCTTTCCGTCTTTACTTAAGTGTTTATTATTAATAGCTGTAATGTATGTCAATAATTTACAAAAGTTAAAAAACCCTGAATTTTTAAGAAAATCAAAACATCATACAAATACAAAGACTACCATTCATTTTCCCCCAAAAGAGAAAAGACCAAAATATTATGATCACACATAAAAATAGTTCTAATATTCACATGGTTAAAAATGCTTGAATAAATATAGCATTCATTTCCAATACAAATTTTCTACTTCTATTAATTTTAAAGATTATTAGCATTAAAAACAACTGACTATCTAGATGGGTATAGGCAGTCTCCAACTTTCAAATAGATTACGCTCCAAACAGTATGCTCAGAATTCATTTTCCTATTAAAAAAAAAGTCATACATAATAGGTATTTTTCTGATTACCCTCAAAGGTTAAATATATTAATCAACCATGTGTTTTAGGTAAAATATCAACACATTGACTTCAATCAAATCTATCAACCTTTATAAATTATTTAACTGGGAAAATGAATTCCACTGTAACATCTCCTTCCCACCTGCAGGGAGGTGAAATAGTTTTATTACTGGCAACACTAACTAGAAAACTTATTTTGTAAACAGAGGAAGAACTTTTCTGCAGCAATCACCTTTCCAGATGAGCTGAAAAGATTAATATTAGAGGTTTTTAAGTTATCTCATTCTAAGCCTACAGACTTAGACTTTTCTGCCTGCTTATATATATCACACAGCATTTGTCAAGTTGGGAACTGCCTATATTACAATCATCAACTTTTCTAAAGATTGAATTAGTGTTTAAAATAATGGCAGTTATTTTTTATATAATTATGAGTAGGAAATTTTATGATTATGTTTCCTGGATTCATAATCAATGTATTTAAATTACTTTTAATTTCCGATTTAAACATAGCAACATGTTTATAGAGCACCAAAAAAATTTTAACAGTACTAAAAAAGTATGAAATATTGCTTTCACTTAAAATTCCAAAGCAATTCCTCATACCTATTATCTACAGATCTATCTACCATCTGACAACTTCATTCTCATATATGCCAAAATAACTCCCCAGAAGGCACAGATAGCTCATGAACACTAATAATAAATAATCCTTACTGCAAAGGTACAGCTAATTAGAAGTGATCTCCTTCTCTCTACAAAGAAACAGATCTGAAGATTCAAAATTCCTAACACCAATTCCAACACAAACCTAAAATCTACACTTTATAAGGTCAGTTGAGTTAATAGAATCAAGAATCTTGTGGTGAAAAGATAATCCCAAACTGTCAGCAGTGCTTTACAGCATGCCAGAAAACTTTGAAGGACCTCAGTTAAATACTTATACCTTCAGATAACTTAAAACTCAGGAGATTCCCAGGAGATACGTAGAACAAATCATCCAATCCTCATAATAAAAGAAAAACAAATAAAAATACATACAAATAAATTTTCAAGATTGATACTGGAATTCTTTGGATCTATTTCAACCTAAGCCTTAAAAAAAGCCAATGTCTTACAGTAGTGTTTACAATTTTAGACCAGTTTTCACTGTATTAGTTTAAAATATAATTTACCTCTTTGGGAGTCATTACAAACATGTGGTCTCTTAAATAATTAAGTAATCAAATTAATAGAAACACGTTAATGAAGATAAATAATAAGTAGGCAAATATAGAAAGTAAAAAATAAATATTCTCAATCAACCAAATCAAAGCATTAATCTCCAAAGTTATCTTTAGTTTTTATATATTTGAGGAAAATTAAATAGTCCAAAGCCTATGTATTAATACATCTAAAGTGAGGAGAGAAGCAGACAATGAAAAACTGTGAATCTAAGTAATACAGGCTGTCTGAAGCCTTCTCATTTTATGATGTCATCTAAATCACCTTGTAAGAAAGAAACAGAGACCATGCTGAGAAAGCCTGTAAGACATTCAGATCAACTGTAGATCAATTTAAGCCATTACAGGACAAAGAAATGCTCCATTTAAACTGAATGCAATCTCCAGCTACTGTACATTGGAAACACCCACAGCTAAATCTCTTTAGAGCAGTTTCAAAGAAAGTATACAATAGCTGTAATGTATTAAGGAACCTTAATATGCACCAAGTTTTTCAAACAACTGATGTTCATAAATCCCCCCTTTTTGTTTCAATTACACAGGAAGCACTGGCCTTAAAAGATGCAATTTTGTTTTAAAATAAAAATCACTATAGCATAGCAATCACGATTAAATGTTTGGCAGAAATTTTTACTTTTTAAAAAGATCTTTGTCTAGCATGACACCATCTGATGTTGTTTGAAGAGTTAATCTTAACATATCCATACACTCTTTCAACCTGGGATCAGACGTTCGCAATCCTGTAGATTTGAGTGCCTGTTTTTAAAAAAATAAAAGTTTGTAAATATATAGTGCAAATAATTTATTTGCTTACCCCAACTACATGTTTTTACATCTATACATAAAAATTTCTACTCAAGACCTGAACAAGTATATGGCATTTTAGTGTCACTATTACCCACTTTCTGGACAAGTTTCTCATTCTTTCATTTTCTTTCACTGATTACCTTGAAATGAGCATAATGAAAATTTGAAAACATAGTAAGAGAAATAGTGTCAGTTGGAATCTATATGTCAAATAACCTTTAAGACTACATTTCAATATTCCTGAATTATTGGTTTGGTACTACTGATTTTTTAAAAGTTTAAGATAGAAAAATATAAAAACTTACTGTAATAAATTTATGAACAGGTATTTTCTCTTGTCCTTCTGCAATTGTATAGAACAGCAAATCTTCCAAGCTAGGTAACAGACCCTGTTTTATTTTACTAAAGGGGGAAAAAGAAGAACATTGTATGAACATTCTAATGGATTTTAACTACATCCATTATTAAATATTCATTGAACCAGACTATAGTTGAATTGATCTACTCATCAAGACTACTGTCATATTAAATGCTGGTTTACCAGAATTAAACCAGAATTACTGAAACCACACTGAAAAACGAGTAAATAATAATTCATTCTTGAATACAGATACTTTTTAATTCCAGGTTGTAAAATTTTGATGACCATTTCTAGTTGTGCTAATGCCTAATTATTTGTTACAGTGCTGCCTTTTTACACAGCTTAATACAATCAATCACCCAATATTAATTACAGAGCTCAGCAAATGTTCAGGTGAGAGTAAAACCTTTGTTCTTTTTTTAATTATGACTATATTTACATATTATTCAGTTAATCTGACTGTAAAATCTAAGGGTGACAACAATTAAGTACTGGACAGTAAAGATTAGCACACAAGTTCTTGAATACTGGCTATAATAATTAAACTGAGTCATCTTATGTAAATTAACCTTTCTGTGATTCAGTTTTCTCATCTGAGAAATATATTATAGTGTATATCTCATAGTGTTATTGTGAGGATGAATTGACTCATACATTCAATACCTTTAGAACACTGTCTGGCAGAGAGCAAGTACTCAACTGATGGTAGCTACAGTTACTATTTCTGAAGTGTTCTAGGTTTACATATACAGATCAAATGCCACAAATCAGAAAGACTGTTAGAATAAAAATTTAAGCATAAAAATCTTAATTAACTGATTAACTAGTATAGTAAGATGCTATGATTAACCAAACTTTTGAACAAGAAGGAAATTTTCCCTATCCATTGAAAAGCTTCAAGTAAACTACAATGTCTTGTGGTGGTGGTGGTGGCAGGAGCCTGAAACTGAAATTAACACATCTCATTATTCTGTCTATGTATAATGTCATAGCATTATAGTGATGTTATGAGGACTATAGATCTAAAGCAGATTAATCCTTTCTCCACCCATCACTATTTATTAAAATTGGGGAGAAATATATATATTCCTATATATTCATATATGGGTGTATTTATAAAATATGCTGGAAAAGACTTTACCTGTATTTCAAGAAAGCAAGGGAGAAAATTAGAGAGAAAGGAAGGAGGGAATACTAGTTTTCTTAAATTCAGATCTTATTATTAAGTAAATTGTGGACTAGCCATTGTTATGGTGGCAACTCTCAAAGGAAATTGCTGTAATTACTTTCGTAAAATAAACTGTCACACAGCACAAGTCTGTTTAAAATTGTGTTTTTATACTGTTAAAAGGAGCTTTTCTAGGTGTACAAATATGTCCTGGATACTTTAATAAGACTGACCACATGTATTTAGTTATTACTTAGTGTAATTACTTCCCTATTATTAGTGATCCATATATTTTACCTTAAAAGACAACAGAATATAGAGTTGCTTCACAGAGTATATACGTTTATACATGCAAATATAAAATTTCTCCTAAAATATTAAAGTTGATATTAATATATTTGTGGTCAAAGATGTTATAACTTTTAGTTTTTAAAGTCAACTTCAAAACATATAAATTTCATGCCAATGTTTTAAAAAAAAAATGCTAACATATAGTTTAATGATATATCCTGGATATATAATTATTCCCTGAAACAATTTTGGCTCTTAGAGAACTTTTTAAGATGTATATGCGATATTTAAAATAAGAGCTAAAATTTACCTATCACTTATGTTAATACTCTACAAGCATGCATTCTAAAGAGCTTATAACAGAAGGTATTATTATTACTCAAAATATAGTATGGTTCCTGGTACACAGTAGAAGCTTAATAAATTTATTATTTATTGATAAGATGAATGACTCAATCCCCATTTCACAGATGAGAAAACAGGCTCAGACAAATAAAACTTCACAAGACTGTATAGTGGCGAGATGGATTTCTCTTAATACAGAGTCCAAGCCATTTACCACTATAGTATACTGGCTATCAAATTTAGCTAGTTATTAATTATTACTGTTATAAGGTACAGTTTTTCTTGGTCTTACCCTGATCTAAAACCATTAAACAGCATTCAAGCCCTGGCCAGTTTGGCTCAGCGGTTAGAGAGTCGGCCTGCGGTCCGGAGAGACCCGGGTTCGGTTCCCGCTAAGGGCACGTACTTCGGTTGCAGTTTGTCCCCGGCCCTGGTTGGTCATGCGGGTGGCAGCCACTCGATGTGTCCCTTCACATCGATGTTTCTCTCTCTCTCTCTCCCTTCCTCTCTCTCCCTCCCACTCTATCTGTACAAAAAAATGGAAAAATATCCTCGGGTGAGGATTGATTAAAAAAAAAAAAAACAGCATTCAACAATACTAATGACTTAATGTTTAAAGAAATATTGAGCCAGCTGTCAAAAAAGTCTGTGAAAAAGAACATACCAATTATTTACAGAAAATGGTTTGTCAAATAAACTTCAGACAGTAGTTTATCACTTTAAAAAACTGCAGAATAAGCTTTCTCTGTATTTATCAAACCAGGAAATGGTATTTGCTTTGCCTAAAAGCTATATAAATAATATAAAATACATATACACTTCTTTACCTTATGGCACATAAGAAAAAATTAGTGACCATGTTATTGCCACAGCTAGCAAAAAAGGTAAATATTTACTTGCTTTTGGACAAGAGACTAATTTTTAACTACAGGAGAGAGATTTAAGTCATCCCTAACAAATATTCTCACAAAATAAATGGTCAAAATTAATAAAAACAAAGTGCTACCTATCTAGGCATTTAAAAGCTCTGATCTTAGAATGAGTTAGCTTCAGCAATCTGGTGAACAAACAAATGTACAGATTCTTCCCAAACTTCAAAATGTAGAAATTACTCCAAAGATTTTTCATGTCCCTTTTTTTCTCCCCCAATTTAATATGGCTTTGTGGCAATACTTCACAATAATGTATTTTGCTATTAACATACAAAAGCTAAAAAAACTTATTTTTCAGTAACTATATAGTAACTAGAAAATCCTTGAGAAGTATTAAATTTTTCATGACAAAAAAAAAAATTATAGCAGGCTTTCAAATATAACATCAATAATTATTAATAAACTCAACTGATTCCTCCAGATACCTTAGGAAAAACATAAAATGGTTATAACACTCAGCAACTAAAATAGGATATACATAGTTTAATAAATCCAATGAAAAATCCTTGTTTCATACCTTTTTATTCCCCCTTATTCCCTTTCTAATTTCTGCCTTTAAGATCCATTCACCATCAATTTGCTACTTCTTTTCCCCATTCCTTCCCTTACTTTACCCTCACAAAATACCTGCCTAAAAAAAACAAATGATTTCTTTAAAAAAGTGAAGAAAAAAAAATTCCCATGTTTTTAACTGCCATCCATGACATATACAACGTTGTTAGTTGGTGCTTACAACCTAAAAGACAAATATAACACCTACATAAGGAGGAATTTTTCTTTTTTTATCCTTACTAGAGGGCATTTTTGCATTTATGTTCAGATAGAGCGGGAGGGAGAGACAGAGGAAGAGAGAGGGAGAGAGAAACATCGATGTGAGAGACACATCAAGTGGTTGCCACCCACATGACCACAACCAGGGCTGGCGACAAACTGCAACCTAAGGGTACGTGCCGCCCTTAGCAAGAACCAAACCCGGAACTCTCTGGTCTACGGGCCAACGCTCTAACCACTGAGCCAAACTGGCCAGGGTCAAAGGAGGAATTATAAAAAAGGAAGTATGGGATCCAATCACTGAAAATTACTTTACTGTGGACTAATAAGGTCAAATTTTTTTTTTTAGAAGGGGTGGAATTTGAGCTAGACTTGAAAGATGGATAGGAGCTGGAAACATGGCAATAAATGGGGATTTCAGGCAAAGGAAATAGAACCACTAAAGCAATGAAAGTTAACATTCACTGGGTGTTTATAAAGAACAGTAAACAACAAGAGCATAGGATATACGAATTAAGCTGTCTGTTTCTACCTACAAGCCATTAAAATACCTAATTTTCAGGGTTAGAAGAAATTTATGTAAGTCAACCAATAAATGAGATGAGGAACTATCCCCCAAAAATGATCTTCATTTTAAAAATATTTTTGATTGATTTTAGAGAGAGAGAGTAGGGGGAGAGAGAGGGAGGGAGGGAGGGAGGAAGAGAGACAGAGAGAAGCGTCCATTTGTTGCTCCATTTAGTTGTGCATTCATTGGTTGCTTCCTTCTTGTATGTGCTTTGACCTAAGATGGAACCCACAACCTTGGCATATGGGGATAGTGCTCTAACCAACTGTGCTAAATAAGCAGAGCAAAAAAATAACCTTTAAAAAACATTTTTGTTTTTAAGTCAGCTTATCATTTTTGAATTTAGCTATCTCACTCCCTGGCTGATGTGGCAAAGTGGTTAGAGTGTTGTCCTGCTCACCGAAGGGTTGTGGGTTCCATTCCATCAGGGCACATGAGCAGGTTGCAGTCAGATCCCCATATGGGGCATGTATGTGAGACAACAGATCAATGTTTCTCCCTCTCACTCTAATATCAATGAAAAGTATACCCTCAGGTGAGGATTTAAAAAAGAGTGTCTCATTGATATTAAGTGTACATCAACACCAGCAAATAGCAGATTAAACTTGTGAAGTTGAAAGTTGAATCGAAGGTGGCTGACCATACACCATTATAAGTCTGACAAAGTGACAGATTCTACGTATTCTCCAAGTCACTTCGCCTCAAGGCTAATTGTTGGTAGAATATAAAAACACGTTTTTGTTTTTGTTTTTCAATCCTAACTCGAGGATATTTTTGTATTTATCTTCAGAAAGAATGGAAGGGGGGGGAGAAGAAATATTGATATGTCCGAGGGATTGCCTCCTGCATGACCATGACTCATTGGTCCAAGGGCCAACACTCTTAATTGCTGAGCCAAATCAGCCAAGGCAAGATCTTACATCTTTTAAAGATTTACTGTTTTAAAAAATAGAACTTTCACACTGG